TTCTTTTGTCGGTGACCATTCAACTAGAGTCATCAAAATGAGCTATTAAATTATAACCATTCTATTTCAGGGGATTTCGGATTGGGTTCAACAGTCTTTGTGCTTTAGCATCTGTTAATCACCTTCATTTCCACGTATGGTACATCAATTATCAAACTCTCTTAGAGACAATTGTAAGTACTGTACCTATCTGGAATCCATTKTTATCCCAGTGCACATATAAGATTTGTGAATAGTAAAAGACGCAAACCAAGAAGTTCATCCTAAGTATCAAATAGTATAGTTACAGGTGGGGCCGTACGAGAAAATATTTGCCTAGAGGTCATGCCGAGGACAGAGTAACCAGGCCAAATGAACGAGAACCAAATATTTTTCTGAAATGCTCGTCCAAGCTCAATCATAAGCCTTTTATKATATATCGATATTTTTTTACTATTTTCCAAAGGTTTTGTTAAGAGTGTAAAGATATGAATATGAGGACCGCATGGCACTATGATARACACGATATAGAAATGAAAGAACGTTAGGCAATTCCGGGAGAAAGACCCTTAGGGATTAAAATTAAATTTACCGAATTTATTCCTAAGGGTCTTTCTCCCGGAATTGCCTCCTTCTAAGCAATATAACTTTTTTTCATTTTTATTAAGAGTGCACGTGAGTAGCGCGTCTGGGCAGAGTAGGCTTTTTCCGGATCAGTATGCGGCCCCATCGTTTTCCTAAGATTTTATTTGTTTAYTTTTTTGGGTGCATACATCCGGATCATTCACGTGTTTCTATTTGGACTATAAATCTAAAATAGGGCATGTGGGTTCATATTAGCCCTCTTCGTAGGCGTCTCTCTAGCATTTTGCCTGTTATAGGTATACATTTCCTGCTTTCTGGTATGACGGCAGGGGTTTATGGGATTACGTACGCCAGTCTCAGGATAGATTCAAGTGCCACTGCTCGGCCAAGAGATACCACATGGATTTCTGAGAAGGCAAAATAACGGGTTGCCTGCAGATGAGGCAAGGAGTTTAGTCTCCCGTACGACTTCGATATATGGATGTCCATATGCATGGCTCTGATGTACTTATAGAAGGTCCTCATGTCCCTATAGAAGTTTCATTAATTACCTGCACGTGATTATTCATGAGTTCCGTTGAATAAATATATGGTCATATATCACAAAAATTCAGTTTTAYTCAAGTAAATTAAACTCATGGCTTAATGAAAATATAGGGTAAGGCGTTGTATGGCGTTGGTTCTTATCAGTTTCAGTTTTTWAGAATTTTCTATGTTCTTTTTTACATGATAGGGACACGAGAGCCTTCTATGTGCCGTGTACRTGCTCAACCATATATGGTTGAGGTCGAGGCAAGGTCAAATTTTGTATTTTATGCGCCTATTCTTCTCTCATTCTTGTTATCGCATTTTTGTCTTAAATTTTCATAGCGCTCAATATTGATAATTAAAGTTGCTAATTGTCACTTGCAGCCAATTCAACCAATATCGTTAGAATGTCAAGAGATCTTCGAAGTTTGTGACTATCCAGCTGGAGTACTTGTCCTTCTTTTGAGAGAGTCATCGAAAGTTCCGTATTTAGCCAGGTGTGGCATAGTATAATATGTTTTTCCATGTTTGAAAGCTTTACAAGCGTTATGTAATAAAGGTTGAGCTCCGCTTAGACACCTAAATCTTACTACTCGCATTTTACCGACGGACTTTCGGGGAAAAATTGGGTTCAAATGCGTGTAAAGTATGAGTAGACGAACTCTAAATTATTATAAAAAGTCATAGATTAGTCTCCATGTTTTTTAAGAGATAGCGGAGAAAAGCATAGTGTTTCTTTTTACCCTACGGACATGGCTTGTCTTCTGTGATATTTACTRATTTCAGTAATTGAGAAAGATTTTTGATTCTATTACTATATGAAACTAAGTGCACATTACTATCTGTATTTTTATAACATTGGGTAAAACCGAACTGCACTGTCTTGCAAGTTTTATAAATGTAAATTCTTTTTCCGTTCTCAAATTTCCAGGAAMATTCACAAGATAACRACATACTTAACGCAAAAAAACATTGCACATAATGTCCTGATAATACGAGGAGAAGATGCCCAGCCTTCAAGTGGTTGTGTTCGAGTGTTTATCTGGCCAAGGCAATCTGTACTTGGTAGGTTGATGGACTCGTTGTTCTCTTTTGTTTTATTATTTCTGCATTAGACTACATTAGGTAGAATAACCTCGCTGATAACTGATGAAACTATACTTGTAGCCAGTGACTGCAGCTATGCAGTAACCACACAGCSGCAAAGCTACTACACAGAGACTCTTCTGCGTTGGGGTACTCTGCAGTTGAAGTGAAAAAGATCATACAAATCGCGCTGAAACTAACCTGTCATTGTTTGTTTGTTGTTTGTTTTGTTTCATTCATGGGATAAAGCGCCCAGGCCATCCCCTTAACCTGTCATTAGAASGGACTTTTTACATAAACTATGCTAATATCGCTTTCCGGTGGGAAAAAAGCACAGAAAATTTTATAATTGCTTATTGTAGTAATGAAACAGTGCCTAACRAAGACTGTTTATTTCGAAAAACACTGCTAGAGTGTTCAGGAGGCGGAGATTAGCGAATTGGCGGTAAAATTCAAAGCTCGTCAAACTGAGTTGAAAAGCTCATTTTTATGATTAATTTAATACTTAAAAGTATTCATTTTTGGTAAATATCTGTTCCCTGTTTTCGATGCTCTCGCGATAATATTTTTATACTTCATACACAAGCAAAAAAATGCGCAAACAACTCTTAGAACATTACACTTACTTTTCCCGTTGGAATACCTGAGAATTGTTTTATAGGAGGCAAGAAATTARGTATGCACTGTGTTGGACGGTTTTTGCCTAGTTTTACAGTAAAATTACCGTCACGAATCAATGCGCGCATTCAAACTTCGCGCTAGTAATGTAAGACCATGTAAGGTCCCGGATGGATGTCAGTCAATTCTGCCCGATGAATTTTTCCAGTTATTCTACCAAATGTTTATTGAAGTAACATGTACATTATGATCATATTTTTGAGATGTTGATTATAAGATGATTGATCGAGCAACCTGTCCATTCTTAGACTGCCAAGTTAGCCGTGAAAATAATGCCTTGAAAAAAAACCATCTATTGTAAACCTACAAACACGGACAGGTTGCTCGATCAATAGCCGATTTGCGAGTTTCCCCTCAGTAGTCAAACACAAACGAATCAAGACGAGGCGCCGTGCGTAAAGCTCAGTCAGTTGTGAAAAACCATMGTCTTTTCATGGTTGACTGAGCTTTATGCACAGCGCCTCGTCTTGATTCTTTTGTGCGTGACTACTGAGACGAAATTCGCAAGTCGCGCGGCTATTATCTTATAAACCAACCTCTCATAAAACCACAACAATCAAAACAAGGCGTGCTCAAATCATTTGTGACTCAGCAGATAGTCTACGGACTGAGACTCAGCATCTCAAAAATATGTTTCACAAGAACAACTATAGGCTCAGTCTCCGCATTGGGTTCAAAACGTGTCGCGCATGTCCGTGACGTTTTTGTGTAATTAGCATATTATGACGTAACGGAAGTGAATTTTTCAGTGAACGGAAGTGAAATATCTGACAACAGCCGTAAAGGTTTTGCTACAAGGCGGGAAATTATGTGAAATGAAAACTTCGCGAAGTAGCGATATAATGTAATAGTTAGCGCTTTAAAAAAGAGAAAGGAATGGAAATTACCCCAAGTAAAACATGTGCAGGGTTTAATAATCCAAATGGATGTATTATCTGCTAGCAAAACGAGCAAAATACACTAGTGGCGCTGTTTGAAAAATAAGAGATTTGCCCGAACCAGTATAGGAAGAATAACAAGGACATCTTTTCCAAGAACAATCTCTTTAAGAGCCTTTTGCTGTATTTCTCTAAATTCGTCCAAGCTAAACGACTTCAGAGCCTTCAAACAAGCACTTTCAAAGAGAATCTCAAACGACGAATTGTACGCCATTTTGTTACACTGCTGCCTGCTAATTTATTAATGATATGCCCCTCAAAATATCGGGGGCCACTCGCTGATTGGTCAAGACTGACAATAGCGAACCTCATGCGCCCAGCCGTCAGGGGAGAGAGTATCGCGGGCGCACGAAATCCCGACGGCTGGAGACTGAGCCTAGAACAACTATAGCGATAAGTTTATTAACACCAACACGCATAGAAAAATAAATCACAGGGATAGTGTGAATAATAAATCCACACCTAAAGCCTTTATTTCATTACCATACATAAAAGACACGTCAGAGATCATATCACCTATTTTACAACCTT